AGGGGAAGCCTGATAGCAGCCTGCAGCTCCCTCACAAGGGGAGTGGAGGGGCAGGTGCTGAGCTCTGCTCTCTAGTGACAGCAACAGGACCCAAGGGAAGAGCATGGAACTGCGACAGGGGAAGGTCAGGCTGAGTGGTAGGAAAAGGTTCTTCCAATAAAAAAAAAAAAAAAAAGTAAGAGCATGGAGCAAGACTTCTTGGAAATAATTTCTGAGTACATGAAGGAAAAGGTGGTGACTGGTAAGTACAGGCATGGATTTTAAATCAGCTTGCTCCCAGTTATAAAATTACTGGTTTTACAAACAAGGTAAATGCCATTCATCCTTCTTCCTTTGCCTAGAGGAAGGCTTTCACTGTCAGACAGTACTGCCATATGCGACTTTGGATATTGCAGACTGAATAGATAGACAAGTTTGGAAGATGTAGTCTGTTCATTCAGACTTTGAGTGAAAAATAGACTGAGAGCAGTAGTTAACACATTCTGTGGAACACCATAGGGGGCTAACCCAGAACCTGCTTTTTTATTTAAAAATATATGTACTTATATTTGTCAGTGGCCTAGAGGTGGTGATAAACTATACGCTCATCAAGTTTGCAGATGACACCAAATTGGGTGGAACAGTCAACATGCTTGAGGGAAGAGCTGCCATGCAGATATACCTAGGTAGACTGGAAGAAAGGGGTGACAGGAACCATACAAAATACAAAACAGGAAATACAAAGTCATATAAAGGGATAAGTCCTTGCAATGATACTGGCTGAGCAGCAGCTCCGTGGAAAAGAAGTTGGGAGTCTTGGTGCATGTTCAGCAAGCTAAACAAGCCAGGAGTGTGCCTTGGCAGCAAAGAAGGCCAACAGTATCCTTGGCTGCATCAACAGTAGCGTAGCCAGTAGTCTGAAGAATGTGATTATCCTTCTCTAATCAGCACTTATTGGACTGAATTTAGAATACTGCATCCAATTTTTGGCCCCCCAGTCCAGGAAAGACATTGATAAACTGGAGTAAATTCAGCAGAGAGCTGCCAAGATGGTCAGGGAGACATGCCCTATGAAGAGAAGCTAAGGGAACAGCTTGTTCAGTCTGGAGAAGAAAATGGCTTCAGGGGAATCTACTAATAGCCTTCTGATACCTACAAGAAAGTAATCAAGAAGATGAAGCCAGGCTCTTCATGTTGGCTGTTAGCAGACAGAAAAGAGAGAACAGGCACAAACTGAAACCAGACAGGTCCCAACTGGTTTCAGGGAAGAAAAAAGTCACCATGAGGACACTCAAGTAGTGGAACAGGTTGCCAAGAAAGATGCTGCTGTGTCTGTCCTTGGACGTTTTCAAAGCCTGACTGGATAACGCCTTGATTATCCTAGGCTGACCTCATAATTGACTCTGCTTTGAGCAGGATGTTGGATCAAAAACTTCCTGATGTTCCTTCCAACCTGAATTATTTTACAATCTTAAGTTTAAAGAGTCTTATAGACACTGCTTTGCACATGCTTACAGTTTTCCAGCAACTTTAGAACACAAAACTCTAGGGCTGTGTGAATACTAACCAATTAATCCAAACATTCAGAACAAGATCAAATCAAGTCTCATATGCTTTCTATCCTAAAATACTACTGTACCTACAGCTACAATCACAGTTTCACAAAAGCAACTTGAGTAATAGCATTTTCCCTACTACCAGACAGCTCAATGCACTAATTCACAAGCATAGTCAAGTCAAATTGTATAACTTCTAAAATCGACTGTAGAAGACTATTTTTGGGCCTGAACCGAAGACCCTCTCCAAAGCATCACGCTCACTCAAAGGTGTTGAAATGGAACACTTAATACAGCTGTTAGGCTTAAACTACTAGTACTGTGAGCTGTGCAATAGTGTCACCTAGTGGCCAGTACTCTTACAACGAAGTCAGGGCCCGATTCAAGAAGAAAACTACTGCCTGTCTACCAACTTTGCTACTCTACAAAACTAGTACATATATATATATATAATAGACACATGCATACGAAGCAAAAATCACAGCAACAAATAAGACTAAACTGAGTCATGGAAAAGCATAAGTCACACACAGCTTTTATGAACTTAAAATGTCATTCCAGAAATAGAAAAAGTTCTTTCGGGAAGCAAGAAGCATTATTGGTCTAAAAGAAAAGGAATGATGGATGAGTACTGCAGTCTTTTGTTTATACCATCATAAATGAGGCTCAAGATCACCAGGTGTAAAATCATCTACTTCAATTCCAAACACAACATTGATACATTTCTTGTCAAGAGACAAGAACAAGTAAATGGGGATCTTGCATAATATACTTTGTGAGCGTTGCCCAAGTCTATGTACAGCATTTATAAATAGTTTTAGGGTTACAAGTATTAGAGCACCCCCAAACTTGAAGAACTGTTCATGCTACTGATTTTTGAAGTATTTGTAATTTCTTCTGATCTTGCACAACTGGAGAATGAGGAGAGGCAAACTTCAACTATTTCAACATTCCAGAGACTTATAAGAATGCTTGTTCTCTTGTTCTGCTCATTGCACACTCCTCAAAACTACTGAAATTCGTTGAATCTTTGCATTTCTGTGGCTATCAGGTCTGCTTAAACTTTGTGCCACACTTGAATCAAATAAGTTTCATGAGATTTCCACTATCCTACAGCTTTCATCTCATCTACTGTTCACTTTCTTTCTTAGATGAAAGACTTGAGCGTGAGAACATTTGTTATTCTCCATAGATTAGCAGACAATTGGTTGCACCATATCTATTACATTCAAAATATTCTTAAGCACATCCCATCAATGTCCAACACTCTCAACTAAATTTCTAGGTTTTAAAAGAAAGAACATGACTCAAGCAGATGAAGAAAGTCTTTTTGACAGATTGTGTTCCACAATCAACTCAGCATTTATTTGGCTACTCTGTATTTTACAGAAGTTCAAGTTTCATAGGGTTTCCACTTTAACAAGCTCAAACAGTGAAGTAACAGACTTCAAATTATTAAGTAAACAGCCAAAAATACTGCATGTTTCTTGTAGCATAGAAAATACCAAGACCTAATTTTGTAGCTTGGCTAACATTTACAGCAAAGAAATAGCAATGTCACAGACAGATTGCCCAGTTTGCTCTCAAATTTCTGAGCTGGCTTCTAAAGACTAAGCAACTAAAAATTTTGCACTGTTGCTTTTTTCTCTGCTCTTCAGACTGCAGTAGTAACAGAAGTAGAGAAACTTCTTTTGCAGAAGTACTTCTAGAATTCATAACACCTGTAAAAAAAATCACAGACAGGACATGCAGGCTGTCCCCACTCACATGGCTTACTGAAAACTTAAGGAAAATTGAGTGGCTTCTTTTTGTTCACCAACGTTGCAATCCTTACGGTTTTTGAGGACTGCAGCAGACTAATGAAGATTCTTCTGAAGACAGCCAACCAAGTGGTACATTTCTATAACCACTTAGCTACTACATAAATATAGAAACAAATAAACACAATAGTAGTATTTTACATCTTGTGGTTATAAACCCCATAAAGAGTACAAGAACAAAAAATACATAGTACAGCCTGCTTTTATTCTTGGTCAGTGACACAAACAATGACACCTACACATATACATGCAATCTACTGAACATGATAGAATTTTCTATTTACAGAACTTATATCCTAAAGTGAAAGATATTGTCATACCACCTATATGGAATGAAAATAGGAACTAGAATGATGAAGAAAAGGACAGCAGGGACAGCAACAGGGATTAGAAAATAATTACTAAGCTCTAGAGAATTCTTCCAGTTACACTGCAATTTTTCCAGCTACTTTGATTTTTCTTACATGCTTTAAACAGATGGGTAATTAATGCAATGTAGCATTTTATGTTACACCTTGCTGAGTCACACAAACCTGCAAAAGTGGTCTTTCCACCCTAAAAGATAAGTCCGTACATAAATGTTTCTCCTTTTTTCATTTTTATGAATGTATAGTGCCAGACATGATTTAAATGTAGAAAAAAGCATACATTGGAAGTTGACTCGGAAGTTTTCTTTAACAATCACCACAGACAGCATGCCTCAGGCATTCAAGATGTTCAAATGAAAGAAACAAGTAGCAGCATTAAAAATTAAAACAAAAACTGAAAAAAAAAGAAATTACAAAGATACTTCCAACATCAGTGGAATCTGAATGGTAATAATGTCTATGGTTTGCTTACAACATTGTTTTCATGGCTGCATGGATTAGACTCAATTTAACCAAAAAAATTTCCTTAGCACATAAGTATTACAGGTAGTTGGCTAAAATTCTGTTTAGAAAAATTACTGATTATAAATGAAAGAGTTGCTAACTTGTATAATACTTAAACTGTTCTTTTTTTTTTTTTTGGTTTTTGTCCTAAAGCCAGCACTTACCAATTCAAATTACGTCATACTACCACCTACCACTTGTATGTCATTAATCTCACATTTATAATCCTGCCCAAGAAGACTAGCATCAGGTCTTCAGAAACATGCAAAACCAGTAACTTTACAAGCCTCCCTAAGAAACAGTTCTTACATTTGGCATATGTAGTTAAAAATAAGAGAACAGAACGGCTAAATAACCAATATTATTTATCGGTTCTTATTACCAAAGAAAGGAGTAGCAATGAAGAATCCTTTATACGAGAATAAATACAGTGAGTTAAAATTGAAGTAATAAAGTGAGCAAGAAAAAGCAAAACAGTATGTATTCATCAGACCCACAAGACTTAATTTTTCTAATTCAATTATGATTAGGGAACTATTCAAATACATATATGTGAAGGTAAAAATTTAATACAAGGAACACCCTCAAAATCTAAAACCTTCCCCACTTGCTTTTCAAAATTAAACTTTCTTTTTAGAAAAACTTTTAAAGTTTAGACACTTACTCTGAAATAAGTAAATGATTAGATCTTTCAATCTCCCCCCCCCCGGCCCAAGACACACACAAGAAAAATAAAAGGTGCTCAACAAGACAAAGACAACAAATTCTATTACCTTGGATCCAAGATTTCACCAAGAATTTCTTCCAGCTTGTCAATAAAGTTAACAAAGTTTGAAAGTCCCTTTACATGGGCTCTTAAGGGATCAAATAATGAAGCTGCACAGCCTTTTCCTCCAAGTTCTACAGTTCGGATAAAAGATGTTGCCATCTATTAGGAGAAACATTTGGGAATACAAAATGTAGGCATATCCAAAAATGCATGTATGTTGAAGTGATTATCTCCTACAGATTTGCAAGCAGTGTATACAGCTGGATAATAGCAGAAATAAACCAAAATCAATAGAATGAATTTTAATAGCAAGCTTTTGACATCTCATTATACATATTTGCAAGATCAACGCTTAAATAGTGCAGCAGTATAAAAATCCACAAGCCAAACAAAAGTGACCCAACTAATTTGATATTTTTTTTTGACAGCTTGGTAAGAGCTTTATTAATAGAGTATATATTTTTTGTCGTTGCTCTCTAAATGCTTGTGCTGACATCAAAAAAATACTCAAACATTCAGAGCCTTGTCTATGGCCTAAAAGCCTATGAACATTTAGATAAGCATGTAAAAATTGATTCCAGTAGCATATATATTTTCAGAGGTACAAATAAAAACTATGAATGCTCAAAGCTGAAAAAATGTGACCATTAAAAGGTCATCAGATACTCAACTCTGAAAGTTTCCATATATCTAGCATACAATAGAGACATTGAAAATAAGAGATGGCCTCAAAGCAGTACACTTTTGATCATGACCCCTCAAATTTTAATGCAATGATCAAAACAAACAGCTTAGCATTTCTCCATTAGATAAGAAACCAATTACAACTGATTGATGACATAATACTGATTCTACATATTAATTTCAGACTATACAGCTAAATCATAAAGCTCTTGGGACTGTAACAAATACAGCTGGAATTATTCTAGCAAAGAAAGTAAACCTGCCACTATTCCTGCTTTTGCACTAAAGACTTCTTGTGGATAAAGTATGGTTCATAGGACCTTGCTTTCCCAATGGAAAATATTCTGGCTTTGCAGGACTTCTACAAGACATAGATGCCAGAAAAGACAACTTCTTTATACAGTAGAGAAGTTTCCCCTCTGGCAAGTATGAGGAAGAGGCAACAAATCCAGTCCAAACAACTTTTTAATATACAATTTTAATGGAGCATTAGGAGCTAAGATAATTAATCCTGGAACTGAGATTTCAGAAGTTTTCCACATTTTTCAACCATAAAATCTGAGACTGCAGCTGCTTCAGTGACTGTTACATACCCATACTGTTTTTCCTCTGTCTACTGTTGTCTGCACTGTGTATGCAAAATTTGATTATTTTAACTAAGAGGTACCACAGTGGTTCTTTGGAGAAAGAATTCTTACTTCTTATTGGAACTATTTTTGAGATGGCTCTATAGTGGCTATAACTATTCTAAGTATAAATTCACCTCACATGCTCTGAGTACTGTGATTGATGCTATAGCTTTTTATGTTCTTATGCAAGGGAGCATACCTCTTTTTCCTCTAGCTCTGTGCCTTTGAGAATAACATAGGCAGGAATATCCCATATCAATCATATCTTGGAGAATATTTCAGGACTGATCAAGCTATAGACAACTGACAAGCATTACCCTCCAAAAATTCTGCCAAAGCTGAAGAAGCTGCAATACAGCTACTCCAAATTTTGGAGTCTGTTCTCATGTACTTGTCAAAGGCAGGATTTTTATCATTAGATTGGTCTACAAAAGGGATTTTGTGCAAAAGAAATACTTTAAAACTTGAGTTAAACTGAATCTAAAAGTGCACAAAAGTGTTTTTTTTTTAAAAAAAAAAAAAAACATTTAGCCAAAGTACCTTCAACATTTAAAACAAAAAAGGTAAAACGCATTGTAATGCACTGTTAATGGATTCTTTTTGTTAACAGTCCTGATTCCTGTTTTTGAAATGCCACACTTTAGTGCTCTAGAGGTACACATGCACACATTTTTCTGTGTCTTTATATCTCACAATCAAGCGAGCATCCATTTCTTCAGGCTGTATCTGTCACTTTTTTTGTTGTTTGTTTTAAACCTAGAAACTATATTTAGGTGGTATTCAACTTGGCTTGCAAGTGTCAGTCTTGTGTATGAAACTAAAGCAACATTTCATGTTTACAGAACTATTCCATTATCTCTGATCTACAGCAAGTTTCATTGGACACACATACCAGGAAAATGGACATTTTTCTCTCCTGTGAGGCATGTTTTAGTTTAGTAAAGGCTTCTCTACTGAGTCCTCTGTCAGGAACATTTAGAATATGAGCCAATGCCAGATCATCCTTAGAATTCACCAACAGGCTTAAATATGAATAAACACACTTCTTTGCCAAGAACATCACCTGTATAAGAAAGCATCAACATTAACTGGTCATCTTACTGCTAAATTACATGCTATTTTTTAAAATCTAATTACATATGTACTAATAAGACTCTGGAAAAGTAAGAATCTTACCTTACATAATTTCAAAATATTACTTCATGTATGGCAATTATGGAAGCACTGACAAAGGCAAGCATGATTAATATGTTAAAATTAGAATCACAAAATATCTAAAGTTGAAAGGACCCACAAGAATCATTGAGTCCAAATCCTGGCTCCATATAGGACCACCCAAAACTCAGACCCTGTGTCTGAGTGTTGTACAAATGCTTCTTGAATTCCAGCAGGTTCAATGCTGTAACCACTGCCCTGGGGAGCCTGTCCCAGTGCCCGACCACCCTGTGGGTGCAGAACCTTCTCCTAACACCCAGCCTCATCCTCCCCTGTC